CCAGGACAAAAAGCATCCGTGATTTCATCAGGTAAGCTCGCCTCAGTAACGTTTTTTGCCAACTTTGAAGGCTCATAACTTTCTTATAAAGTTCACGTAGCAGTTTTAGTGTCCATATTTGTAATCAGCGTTCCAAAACTCTATCGATGTTCTAGGTCTCCTTTCAAAGTTCCATGGGAAGTTCAAAACATTTCCTGGTTAGTTAAAAACTTTCGAGGATGAACAGGCACTGAAAAGCCACAACGAGGCCTTCCCGGCCCTCCATGCCTACGTTATAGCGAGTTATCTACGCGTTTGCAGACCATTGTGTACAATCGTGCCCATCTGATAATATCTAGTTTTCACAAGATAAAAAATAAAAATTGAAGTTCTTGGGAAAGGTATCAAAGCTTGTGCACACCCGATCAGAGGTGCCGAATAATTGAGTTCCTCACACCTGTTTTTTATGCTCGATGGTAATAGAGAGGCATATTGCAAGGATACTGGAGAAACCTTGAAGTTCAAGTTTCGAAGATCCAATAAAACGGACGGGTTTAGAAGCTTCGACCATCTCTCAGAAATAGAACATTCAGTCCTACAAGAGGTACATCAAAAAATTGGTCCTGTTGCAAATACGCTTTTGAGGGAAAACATTTGAGCAGATGGATGTAGATATTATTTTCTGACGTTGGACTTGATGCAAGGATGAGCTGATGGCCAGCTGACCGCTGTATCGGAACCTCTTCTGGGTTATCAACAGGGATTGTCAATGTTTATGACGGGCTATGACGTTTTGAAGCCGTACCGCAAACATCAAACTACTGCGATGAAAGTAACAAGGGTGAACCGACAGAAAAGCAGTCTCAAATTCCAAACGGAGGCTTAACACACAGAACTGGAAATCACAAATCGGAAGATGAAATCTACTTTGTGAGAGTTGTTTTTGACCTGACATGGTGTCTAGACAGGTTGGAAGCTCACCCATTGACTCAAATAGCCTAACCATAAGTGTTGTCTTACCGGCGGAGCCCCTGGAACCAGCTGAGCCCGCAATCACCTTAAGACTTCCTAGTTTGCCAAAAAAATCTACAAGTGGCTCAGGCAGTCTGCTGCATATTGTGACTATCTGGCTGGATAATGAATTGATCAACTCGGTCACGGATGGGCGCCTCCGAGAAGATTGTTACTATCATATTTTTGAGCGGATTAGGATCGCAGGGTGCTGAATTCCAACCGAAAATTCGGGAGTCACTTTGGACACTGTTTGTCGTCTACGGCTGGCTGAGTTTCCCAGCATGGCAAGTTCATAAGCGGCCCTGACAGAAGTGATTATACCACAGGATTCATCTGACTTGTCCGCCAGATAAGACTTAGACATCAAAAAACGAAGTGTAGGACCATATATGAATGGCTGGCAAACCATAACCCTTTTCGAGCCAAATCAGAGAAATAGATTCGAAGCAGCTCAGTAACGACAATCAGAGAGAAATGAGAACGATACGATCGACGAAAGATGGTTTCTTACCGGAAACCCACCGCTGCCATCAGCCGAACACAGTTCATTGTCAGACATGAATGAAAAACATATAAATCATGGAACAAAAGTGCGAAGTTATCGATACGCCAGACTGCAAAAATAGGGCTAGGGTAATGATCGGGCGTGAAGAAGCGACGACCAACGATGGATGACCGATTGGGTGAGGTGATCGCGGCGGCGGTACGTAGAGAACCGGCTCGAGCAGAGGCGCTCACTGCCCGTACACCGCCCCTGACGCCGTTCTGACTATAACTAGTCACCGGCAATGGACACCGGTGACACAATCGCAGGATAGCGTCGTTCAAGGCGGCTTGGCAAGCAAGCACGAAAGGAGCTATTTTTTCGGGAAAGGAAAGCGGAGACGTTTAGGGATGGTGGGAATTTGAAAATCACTGTAAAGGCTTCATGAGGAGAGTTCAGGGTCAAAGGTTATTCAACTGTTTTCGAAAGGCAGGTCTCACCGGGCTGAGGTTGGGGCCGTGATCAGCCGAGTAATCGAAGACTGCAAATAACATTCGAATTCCACAGCAATTACCGTTAAAATACTGCTCTTTCTTCCCGTACCTATCTGACCCTTACAAACACCGTTCACGTAAAGGATATAAAAGATAATCACGAGTGCGAATGATTCTTCCGACCCACGTGAGTCACTGAACGCATCGTGAAACTCCCCTAAATGGCCGCGCGGCGCCATTCCCCTTCCACGTGGGTGTTCCCACACGCGTGAGTTACTGAAAGCATCGCGAAACTCTCCTTAATGGCCGACTTTCGGCTGTAACGCCGATGAGTAGACAATATCACCATATTCACATTAATCATTCTAGAATTCCTGGTAGATGATAGCTTGACGGATAGGACTCGCATCAGAAACAGTGCAGGGTTTCACTACACACGCGAACGAACCATCCATGTTAACAATCATCACCTTCGAAAAATCTCCGAAAAACTTCGTTGGAAGAATTACCGCGCGCTTGTCATACGATGGTGAGAAAGACCACGCGACTCACTTTGAATACACTGTTATGAGAAAAGCTAAAGAGACTACTCTCTGAAATATGGAAATCGAAGCGAAAGTGAAAGTTCAGACGTGGATGATGTTGCCCTACCGGAATCCCATAGTATTAGGTTGGAAAGAAAGTTCTGCAACACTCTTTCCAAAATTTTTCTTTTTTTCTGAAAAATTCATAGGTAACATTTATGACTACCAAATGATAGAGCATTCTCAAGGCTTCAATCCACGAGGTGGATATAAGTTCTGCAGTCAGTAGTTATCCAAGAAAATTCAAAAAATCTCGACCACTAGCAAATCCGTACTCCGAGTCACTGTCTAGTACAAATGTCTACAAAACCATGGATTCGTGTCAACGACTGACACTATCTGCAATAGCTTCTAATGGCATGCCGTTCAGCGATACAGCGTGTTTCACCTTTACCAGCGCTTCCGATCTTTTGATATTTTTATAAGAAGCCAGCAGCATCCCTCACACTCCATTACAGGTAGGGGCTCTTACAGAAGCTCCACTACATACCCTTCGTTATGGGCACCATTGTGTAGGCAGTGGCCTAGGTTGTGGAGTACCAGAAGCTGGCCGAGGTAGCTCGTCAAGAGCCCTCGTACCGCGACAATATTCATTTCTTTCATGACATTGCGAATCACCATGATCCGAAATGAGCCCGGTAAGAAATTCTGGAGTTGCGGCAAGATTTCTTTCCTCTCTTAGCGTAATCCTCTGGTCGAGCTGTAAATAAGTGCTACCTATCCTGGACCTTTAATCATCATCTTTATAACGAAATAATCAGACGATCAAACTCCAACTCGAAAGTGAGGTCGCCTCCTTTCTCGACTCGCACTCCGCTGGGTTTTGGCAGAGGAGGATCAAGAAATTTTCTGAGCGATGGAGACAAGTGGTGGACACTCATGGTAGATATAAGACCAGTCAGAAGTTGTAACCAAAAAAGATAAAATTAAAATCAAAAATTTGAAAAAGTGTTGCAGGACTTTCTTTCCAACCTAATACCTGGTCGAATATCTTCCTGTAAATTCACAGCGCAAAAGCACTGCCCGCTTATGGCGCTAGATGTCACTGATGCCATATAAGAAGCGCAACAAATAGTTATTCATTAGTGACTGGATGGTGTAACTTTGTTGGACAGCACACGAGTTTGTGTTGGCATTTTATTGGCTAACGTTTCGGCGAGTTCGCCCTCTTCGGCGCCTAAAGGATGGAAGTCGAGTTCATGAGTATCCGACCAAAAATCTCCACACACCTACTAGATCTTCGACACCACCTAATCATCACGTAATCACAGGGGAGAAGAAACACCGTACCTTTACCAGATCCACTGGATCAGCCAACGACAAGCACAGTACAGTAAGACTTCGGGTGGACCGTATTCAGGGTACCGGTTGGAAAGCCAGGCTTATATATGGGCTAACTCCCGCGTAGTTGACAGACATTCTTCCCTCTCCGCTTCATTTTTTGGATTCCTGACATGGATCCAGAATGCCTCGAGGGTTTTGCGCGCGGAAATTTGGGTCTCTTGCTCCAAAACCTCCATTGTGACCCCAAGATCGTCCCCATTATGACACTGGACCCTTGTGCAGCCCATAAGCGGTTGGAAAAGCGCGATCTATCCTTGCCATCCAAATGTTCTTCAACCCGCACATAAAGTGGTCTGGCCGTTTCGCCTATGCACTCGTCTCCGCATAATCTGCAGGAGATTTTGTAGACCACGCCCAGCCAGCGCGCAATCCCCTTCTCTCCCAGCAGGGTAAATTGTGCAGTCCGAAGTTGAACGATGTAAAGGCGATTCCGAACCAGGCGGCGCTTTAAGTTGTCGGGTGGGACTAAACCCCTACCTCATTTCACAAGACAATCCAAGGGGAAACGGGTCGTCATTTCTGCTGCTCAAGGACAATCTCACACCAACAGGTCACACATAGCGAAATCACTAATCAAAATAGTGACAGACGGCAAAAGCGTCGATAAAGCTTTGCCGCAAATTAGGTTGGAAATTAGAAGCTATTTGACCGAATTTTACCCACAATTTCGATCAATTTCTTTGTGACTACGCTGCAAAGGTCTGTTGACCGAATTGCCAGCGTCTTCGTCTTGACGGGTGTCTGCCCACCTGACTTTGTGTGTTGTTTGTATTGCATTCTGTGCAGTCGTTCAGTTTCGATACCGGTTCCTCTAAAGGCCTCAACAAGCCGATGGGTGCGCTACTGTGCCGAGTCGGTACGGCGGACTAAGCGACGAAAATAACGACGGCCGGAAGCACCTGGTCGACAAAGTGACACAACACCTTTAGCGGCCGTGCGGCAATAACTAAGAATAGGGAGGGCGAAAGAACGGCATAACTGGTTATGCACTACTTTTTCAACAGAGGTTTGGTGTTGTTTTTGGATCTGATCAAAAACATCAAAACGGTAGAAAATTGTCTAGGAAATCTTTGCAGTGTCGGTTTCACGGAGAACTTCGAAGGACTTTGTGTCGTGTGGAGCCAAAGAGCAGGGCTAGGGAACGCCACACTTGTCTGGAGCACAAAGAACGTTAAGAATAACACAGTCAAACAGAAGTTTCTACTTTTGCGAGCAACCTCACTCTGTATGGCGATAGTAATGACGAAACTGCTCCAGTCACGTTGAAATGGCAGTACCTCACGAATTTCATGGAAGGAAATTTTCCATTTAGGTATCTGTCTGCTGCTACGTCGTCACACTTGTATGGGGCGAAAAAAAAAATTAAAAAGGAGAACAGTTTTAGTATATATACATCTTGTTGCGGCTTCAGAAGCAATCTGATACAAATTTCTAGTATATGTTGTCGAGTACAGAGTTTTGAAGTTCCTGCGATATGAGTGCATGCACGAAGCGCGGCGTAGCTTGAGCGGTGGGAAGGCACGAGTTCTTCCCAGGAAGGTCGTTTAGCATATGGAACGCTTACGTGCAACGATTATAGCATTTTTAGCATCGACTAGATGCACACTGCTTGTTCAGGGGAGATTCAGACACATAGGCACAGGAAGGTTCAAGTCAAAGACTGCAAAATTTTGTTTAGAGGAGTGATGTAACACATACCCTTGCTCCCACTTCTTTTTAGTATTCCCAAGACTGCCTACGAAAAGTAGACATAATTTCTATTTCCATATCTGTTATCATATCGACCGCAGTTATCAAACACCCAGCTCATCTTCAGTAGTGGAAGACATAGCTGTAGCTGTGGCAGTAGCTTAGTTTAGCAATAGTTTTGACCTCTGTCAGCTCTTTCCTACATTGCATACGTATGTTTCAGGGGGTGTTGAACACGTACGGGAAGCCGTACAACAGCTCAGTTTATACGAGAGATCTTCAACCCATCCTATCGAGTCACAACTCACAAAATTCCTGTTTTTCACACGAAAGATATGTATGGTCTCATTCATTGTTGAGACAGCAAATTGTGGTTGAAATCTGGAGGTGACTTGTACGTATTCTCCTGTGCCATATCAATCTTGTCTTCTTAGCTTACCGACACTGTTTCGCATCACGCACGTTCCTAGTAACGGGTGCCAAAAAAAAAGAAAAGACACTTTGCCATGGCACATCATCGAACTTTTCGTCGCACAGGGTGCCGATGTTAATGAAAGTTTTACGGCGAAATATTCCTAAGGTGTTCCCCCGTAAACAGAAGCAGGCCCTCCTTCACTGTCCCCGCCGTCTTCAGAATATGACGTCATCTGCCGCCACCGTCGAGCTCAACGAGGCTTACCGTAATCGCTCCGACCTGAAGCTGCTTCATAGCTTTAGAATTTCTTCAATGACTTAACTGTCGAATAGCTTCCCAGTGACATTAGCTGTGAATATACAGAACCGCTTTTGATCAGCATTTCAGGGACGTCGTAATGGTCTATGGTACCTCGACGAACCCGTTGAGCTCGTATCGCGAACCATGTTTCCGTGGGAAAATCTTCTGATGTCGTCGGGGCTGTCATGTAAGTTTAGATAGATTAGAAGTGCTTTCAATACTGAGTTGGGGGCAGTCGATTTGATTTTA